CCTAAGATGTCCGAGCAAGCCCTGGCCTGGAGTGTCCGAGTGTGAGCGCCGAAATCCCTAAACTGTACATTGTGAATCCGCTATCCTGACGGCGAACCCCGAGCCTAACCCCCACAACCCCAAAGCCCTACACCCTGAACCCCCACACCCTACACCCTCAAACCCCAAGCAGGAAAGCCCTTAGCCCTTAAAGCCCTAAAACCTAAAGCCTGAACTTGATTGAGAGAGTTTGGGCTTGAGGCAAGCGACCCTCTTCGGATTTCCAGGGATGCTCGGAACAGGCGAGGTTTCGGTACTTTAAGGATTTAAGTCACGGTGTTGAGGGTTCTGGGAGTGCCGTATTTTACTACCCCAACTCCGAAACCCCCCGATGTCGCCTGGCATGTCCGAGTTGCGAGAGTGTAAACCTCCAAGTCTAATAAAATAGATGGCCCCGGTATGCCACAAAACCTGAGCCCCAAACCGGTACACAGCAAGCAAGAGCTCAGAGGCACCCAAAAACCAAACCTGCATCATGGAAAGTTGCTAGTGCGTCGGCCCAGGCCCGATGGTGACGAGTGGTGAGCCCGAGGATGTTCTGGCCCGAGCTTTCAAATTTCACATTTCTCATCAGCCTTCTAAGCAAAAACTTGCATTTTAGTGTGCATCATTGCCCGAGGTCCGACGGCGACGATTGTTCCGGCCCGAGCTGACTTGGTTCTCAGCAGCCTCTTAGCTAGTGAGTGCATTGCCCGAGGTTCGACCGCGAAGTTCCCGCCCGAGCTTTGTCAATGTTCTCGCTGCCAGACTCCCAGTAAATGCCCAGTGCTTGCAAGGATTGGAGGTTCAGGGTTTTTATTAGGGTTACCCCCGCAAGACGAATTCCCACCAGCTTTTGATTGGAAGACGTAACAACGCCTTGCACTCCGAGGTCCTTCGTGGAGCGTGCTGTGGCAGGCGGCCGAGGTCGAAGATGCTGGTCGTCTGGGGAGTTGCCTTTCACTCCTGAGGTGCTCGTGGGGGCGCACTGTGGCAGCCAGGCGCTCGAGGTGGTGCCTGAAGCCTGCATATGCACCGCGACCCGCGTAGTCCGAGGTCCGACGGCGGCAATCGCTCAAGGGGCCAGAGGATGTTCCGGCCCGAGCTGTTAGTCTAGCTCACCAGAATCGTTCGCGTGATTGAAGTTGCATGACTTGCATATTCATTGTTTTGGACTTGTGATGTTGATATCTCGCAGCTGAGAAGCCACAAGTTAGCAACATGCATGGATGGCACGAGGCAACTTATGTTACCTGGCACCGGGATGCTCACATTAAAGACATAGGCGCACTTAAACCATGCTAGCGAAGTGCATACTGGTTACTAGTGAAGCAGATTTGATTTTTAGAAGAGCTCGCGTGAGCTTCCAATCTCGGACATGGCTGATCGTGCTGATTCCTCGACTCCTGGCACTGGTCCGAGCCCCGCGGCGGAGC